GAATACTTAATATAAATCCATATACGTAACTCGTACTTTATTCCTGTCGCTTCCTACACGCAAATTATAATATGGAACAGGCCTATTGTAAGTAACGCATTATTATTGTGTTAATTAGAAATAAATAATTTGAATCATATTTAGTGTACTAAAGCCATGAATAACTATTACATTTCTCTGCTTTTACTAACACAATACTGAAATCAGAAGCCTACAGCATGTGGCTCTGACACACTCAAATCCGCCCAATTAAACTTAACACATGGCACTTGCAGACGTTCAATTCGACGACATATTTCTAAAGATTAATTCTGGATAATAACATAGAGGCCTTTCCAAGTTAAGATAATATTAATATTGTTACAGTAAAAAAGGATGGCACAACCGAACGTCGAAACCGAGTTGTTAGCACTCCTTCGTATTTGGTAAGTCCCGGGTTCAAATCCTGTCCAAAAGATAAGCCACTCCGACTGAGGTTTTCAGGGCTTTCCTCAGTCCCTTCCATTGAGTTCGGATATAGATCCTTAAATTAGGCTACAACTGCTTATTTCCATTTACTATACAAATCGTTCATTAAGTAGCCCATTATTCGTAGCTGTACAGTCTGAACTACTGACAGTGCATTAAATAGATGGCCCAAGTTCAAATTTGAAGCTCGTGAATTGAAAACAGTCTCGCTACTGCAACTCTGTTCAAAAGTATAAACCTAACAGTTCAAAAGCCTTTCGCAGAACTGCCGTCTGTACCCGTATTCTGACATGCAGTTCCATTCAAGGATGTGAGCACAGGAGAAATGTACGTCTGTTATTTGTCCTACTACAAGTAAGTTAATTATAATTATTCCACATAACATTCAAAATTCTGGTTACAGAACTGCTGTAGCCTTCTTAGACCTCCCGCGGAACAAATCTACTTTCCTTCATGCCCTCAAAAAATAAAAGAGGAAAGCAGTGATGTAGAATAAAATGTTAATGAATGAAGAAATAAAAACAAACAAATAAATAAATAAAAAAGTCCTTAGTGAAGCTGATTTCCTTTAATTGAATCAGCACCGGAATTTAATTAACCTGCGAAGTTTCAGTGCTGCATCATATTAGAAGCTTGGCAAAAAATTTGTTCCCGGTTTTGCATAACACATTCCAATTCCTCGCGTATTATTATTATTATTAGTGTTCTGTCTGACGACAGGTCCATATGAACAGAATCCTTCCATCCTTTTCTCGGACTGGGACCTGTTCATATACGTTCTTGGCAGATGATCCAGAAGTGGTTTGCCATTGTCTTCTTCTGTGTGTGAATGGGATGCCACGGAGAAACCGGGGAAGCCCCCGGAGGAAAACTCCGTGTTGCCTAGACCACGGCCTTGCCCAACACAAGTTATAAATTTGGGCACCGCCGGGAATCGAACCCGAGACCCCAAGATTACAAGGCCAGTGACCAACAATATTCAAGTATTATTGACATTACACACAATCACACATTAATATATTTTTACTTTATTAGACAATGATGACTGTTCTTCACTCGGCAATTTAATACAAAATACAATTAAATAAAATTCTTTTTATCAAGACAGCCTTATTAAATACATATATATATATATACTACGTATACTACGTATACAATCTTGTTGACAAAAACAAAACGTGAACGAAACATTATGAATTTATATTATTGTTTACAAATAATATGAGTCATCGAAATCGCCTATTCATTACTCCGTGTACGCAGTAGGTTACGCTGAGAATAAGAGTTTTGTCTGAGGTAAAAGCAGTGAGATCGAGACTTAACAGTGACGGTAATAATGGATGCTGAAACTCGATCGTTATTAAATCCATATTAAATAAGTCACTGCCTTCACGATAATCACGCTTACTCTGAGCAGCGGTTAGTCAAACGTATGCTGACGTGTGGCCTGCAGCATTTTTAAGACGATAAGCATCCGAAATGTGCAGCTTGAGGAAGGAAAACTGTTCTTCAAACACGAAATTTTGACCAAGCACCGTCTGATACGTTAACAAAACGCAACAGGATCACTTAAACTGCTAGTCATTCGGAGATCGTGACCAAACACAATTTCCCAGACGAGTGTTCAGCCTAGAGGAGAAGCGCCTGAGGGCAAAAGCGCTGGGCTCTTGCGTCTTGAGCAACGGCCATTAGAAAAAAAAACAATGAAATCTTTCGAAGCGCAAATTTCATTTTATCACATAAATGAGTTCATCTCACCTACACCGGGCACAATTATATGAAATTTGATGCGCTATTTGTACTGAATGCATGAAAAAAGGGCAAACACAGGATGTCATGCCCAAACATCTACGTTAGTATATGTTTAAGTCAAAATACTGAAAATGAACGGATTTCGGTTTTATACGGACAGTTCCTTTAAACGTTGTAAGGTGAGTGCAAATTTGGTTCATATTCGTCAAACACGAAGTAAATATCGAACATTCTAGATTTCTTAAAATCAGCTAAGGATTTCAGTACTTGCTTGGAGCTAAAACTACATCGCTCAGGAGACAACTCAACACACGACCAAAATGACGAACATACAGACAAATAAGCGGTCGTAATTCAATTGAATTTCCTCATAAAACTGCTTAAGCGTTCTGCCGGTCAATCAATTTACTCGGAACACAAATGTAAATGAAACATCAGATAAATGTATTACAAGAGGTAAAAACTATAAATAAACCATACACACACACAAACTGACACACGAATATCGATTGCCCTTCCGTAATTCAGCGAGAGAAATCTTTCACGCGTTTATCTTCCCCGTATGGGGCAACCCACGTCATCTTTCTCAAATTAACATAATATTCTGTCTGCTCACGTGTTTAGGAGCGCGTAATGTTACGAAGCAACTATCTGCTCTGCACGTTCCCCGAATCTCGCATGCCGTAGATTGCGTCTCCTACTCTCGCCTACTTCTCGGTTTATGTTAACCGAGTTACTTCGGCTAACATTATGAAATTTAAGAATACTTCAATATAACTCTTGTGGTTTTGTCGTACTCCATACACTGTGACACTGGCATATTCTATATGCTTGCTGAAGAGTGTAAGCCTCAAGTACCTGGCTAACAACGCCTGGTTACAGTTGGCTAACGATGCATTTTAGATGGGTTCCGCTGAGTACTAACGCAGCACGAAAGTAAGGCGGAAGACTAATTCAATTAATATTGTTAATGAATAACCAAATTATCATTTCATCGCGGGTATTTGTTTTACATATACAACACGTTATTGTGCCTACAAGATCGTGCAAGAAGAAATAAAACGTACGTAACCTAACCTAACCTAACCAAATATCGCGATGGGCGGATATGGAAATGAAGAACAAGTGCAACACGAAAATCACTTAATTTTACTTCACGTTGAGGTTAAAATTCCATTGTCGTGGCATCTTTGTTACAAATAGCAGATGATACCGTAGAATTTAGTAGCAATTTTTTGTGCTTCCTCACGACTCCTGATGGATTACATCAGTCTGGACCCCGCAATCACGAAGTCTCCAACTAGTAATTTACATTCAAGGTGGCTCAGAATAGTTTATACAGGAAATTAAAATATTTCAGACAACCATACTCTCAATTACGTAACTTCCAAAAAGTATATTACCCCAATGTGAAGTCAAGATATTTAAAAATGTTTAAAAAAAATGATGCCGTAATTAGATGGGCATGTTTAAGTCTACCTGGACATATTAATGGGACCGAACTAGCCCTAGTGTTTTGTTTGTGTCTTTAGAAAGGTCCGTAGCTATAACTAGAAGATCGCCTTAAAGATGGAGGCAGTAAGCACATCTGAAACATTGGTCAATGTCTACTTTAATATGTAGCGCAACATTCCAGAAGACAATCATCTTACTCTACACGTACTTTCTCTCAGAGTATTCATTTATTCATCACTCACTGGCCTCTATATTCATTTATAGTGAATTGATAAACATCCGTTGTTGACATATTTAAAATATACTACGCTTACTGCATAGTCTTGAACTCAATTATCGACAAAACAAACCAGCAGTTCACATATACTACATAAGGCGTGATTTAGTTTTCAAAGCATAATGTTTATATATATATATATATATATATATATATACACTATCTAAAAGTTATTCCACATAATTATAAGACATGTAGATGTAAACAACGCACGGTTATTTTTATAAAGATTCGTTTCTGATAAATGCAATAAGCATCAATTTGAGACAGAAACAAATGACTAGCACTTGTGACCACGGTATCTTACTTCGGGTTTCATAAAAGGGATTTACGACATTTAAAATGCGTGTTACATGTCCCGTCCATCTCACTAGTTTAGATTTTATTACCCAAATAATATCTCGTAAAGACCAACAATTTATCCTCTTTCTTAGATCCAAATGTTGTCCTCAACAACGTTTCTTAAATGACATCGTTCTATGTTCATCCACAAGGACGAGAGAAAATTTCGAAAATAACAATCTATAATCTAATATTGTGCTAAGTTACTTTCTTGAAAACATCACATGAGTGAAATCCTTGTATTGTTTACGACCAAATATATGTGTCTATAACCACATTCACAACCCAGCTATTAAATTTTTATATCGATTTACAATACGTATTGCGTGTTGCCTGTAGCATGAGATGCACAGACAACTTATAACTGTATCACCGTGTTACGCAATACAAAGAAGAAAAACGCGAATCATGTTAGCCGGACCTTCAGGCGTTGTAAGACAAGGGCAATGAAGCATCGTGCAAGAGGTGCAGCGCTTTGGTAACCTAACTCGAAGCCACCACGAGAAAGGAGAGGAAGACGTAAGAGTCCTCCTGAACAAGAATCCTCCTTGGTTGCAATACTGTTAAGCAATCTCATACGAGCATCTTAGTTCGTAATGTGTTACATATGACTGAATACCCCCTTCTCAATTAGGAAGCCTGCCCGCTATTAAACACATTCTAATTCAGACCACTATTTCTATATTATGGAGGGGGTACCTCTCTCCCGCGGTGCCGAAACGTAGGCAATAGTCATGCAGAAAAGATGAGTTTGTTTCGTATATAAATGGTAGTAGCATCTTCAGTTAATTCACAGTTCATCTTCTAGCATACATCAGAATACAGAGGAAGAACCACGAGATATCAGAGCATGGCCAAGGTAGTGTCACGTGTCAAGAGTGCGCGTCTTCGAGAAACTTGTCTCTAATTCATTCAGCTTTTCAAAGCACAGAGGCTGAGTATTTATGGGATTAGTCTGATTCTCAGAATAAACAGTAATTATTTACTTAAAACAACTTTAACCAATTGATCACTGAAGCAGAAACGTGTTCTTTTCCTTTGAAGTATGAACCTGATTATTAAATATTATCTAGATTAACTTCGCGGTTGATAGGGACTTGCACTATTGGTATGTTTAAAGGAACACTGTAGTCTCAGTCGGTAAAACAAAATTTGAGTTCAATTTTATTTATTTTTTGAAGATATCTGCCGTGTTTCTCAACATATACTCCATTTCAAAGTTCATAATTTTAGCTTCTTTTAACAACTGCTTCTGGTTGTGATACTAATATTTGCTCATTTTCTGACACAACAGGTTTTTCTTATTTTCACCTCGGCGGTGGTAGCTTGCGTATTAGCCGAGCCCCCAGCTGACCGATCGTACTTGCCACCAGGCGAGGACACTGGAGTTGCCTTGAGAGGACCACAGCCATCCAGCCAATACGGGACACCATCAGGTGCTTCCAATGGATTCGGGCGTGGAAACTACCCCTCCAGCCAGTACAATGCACCCTCCACCGGGTCTAATGGATTTGGTGGTTCTCCGTCTTCCCAGTACGGTGCTCCCACAGCCTCACGCAGATCTGGTGGTGGTACTCCTTCTGCCAGAAATGGAGTACCTTCCTCACAATACGGCTCTCCTTCAGCTTCAAGCAGATTTGGCGCATCATCTTTCGGTCGCAATGGCGGTGTTCCTTCAAGTTCCGGGCGTCTTGGAGGAGCGCCCTCAAACCAATATGGTACACCTTCTGCTTTTGGTCGCAACGGAGCTTCTCCTACAACACAGTACGGTACTCCTTCAGGTCCGGGACGATTCGGCAGTGAACCTTCTAACCAATATGCGTTTGGTCGGAATGGTGGCTCCCCCTCTCCCCAGTATGGAGCTCCATCAGCGAACGGTGGATTCGGTGGTGCTCCTTCAGCCAACGGTGGATTCGGTAGCAATCTGTCTTCCCGATACAGCACTCCATCAGGCTCAAACAAATTTGGAGGTACCAATGGGGTGTCTGGACCATATGCTTCAAACGGTGGATACGAGTACTCTGGAATACGCAGCGGAGGACAAGACGACGACCTCTCTGTAAGTGTCACGGATTTGTGTAAATTAACTTAACACAGTTACCTGACGCTTTAAATAATTGGGTCGTATTACTGCTGTACGCCAGAGATGGAAGTTCTGACACGACATTTCTGTGACCAAAACTGCTCTGATGTCAATTAAACTGAAAGTGTAAAAGCGTGATATTCTGTTCCAGGAACCAGCAAACTACGAATTTTCTTACGAAGTTAACGACCCAGATTCTGGAAGCGACTTTGGTCAGGAAGAGAGTCGACAAGACGAGGAAGCCAAAGGAACGTACTACGTCCTGCTTCCAGATGGGCGTAAGCAGATTGTAGAATATGAAGCCAATGAGGAAGGTTACAAGCCAATGATCCGGTATGAGGAAGCTGAAGGAGGTTACCCAGGAAGTCAGGGTGCTTACCCCGCACAGGGTGGATACCCAGGATCATCGCAGAGAGGACAAGGGCCCTACTAAGATAGTTAGTCATTAGCATATCAGTCCCACGCCTTGTATAGCATACCATTATATTTAAATATATTAGACTGAATGCCTAGTTAGATCCGCTAGTTAACGTTGTATATGTGTGTATCCATTACATTTATCGTGCATAATAAATAATGATAAATTATACTGAGTACACTCACAATTTGAAACAACCTTGCTAACTCGTTGTAGTCAAAGAAGGTAACACAATAACAGGAAGATGAAACACATGTAACATGCATGCTCTTATGTCTAATGGAAGTAAGTCCTTAGATAAGGATTTAAAGCAGAGAACCATAGCTCTTTTGAGCACCTCTGCAAGATCATAATTATTATCTCATCCCACGTCACGCCAGTATAAAATGCATTTGTTTAAAAAATCCAAGGCATAAACACCAAACTGACTCAGAAAATAAAATATAAACTTTCACGAAGGCTAGAAATAAATAAGCATAGGTCTACAACAGAGTCGATGATGTTTTAGAATATAAAAATTTTCACATTTATGATTTCGTTATAAAAATACTCGTAAAATTAAACTTGCCACAGGTGTTGCAAGAAAGTACTATGTGGTTAAAATTTGATGGCTTTTTTCGTAGGAATACAATACAAAAGCATATAAATATTAAGAAATGAAGAAAACATTTTGAACCTTGATATGTCGGTAAAAATAATACTTAAAAGGGACTTTTGTTTAACATCTGGAGGTATATTACTTGATAATCAAAGTACTTTGTAAAGTAACATTTCCCAACTCATCCGATCCTATCAGACAGTTAATTGTATAGCTGAGCTTTATAACTCTAATGTTACAATAGACAAAGCAAGCAGTGAGTTGTACTCATCTCTTGCAAGCTCATAATGCAGTGTATATTCTACTGAACGTCTTAATCGCTTTTCCTAAACGTTTTATTTGATGAAACAATGCTTATGGCGAGATTCATCAGTGTCAAGAGATGTGGTAGCGTGTATAACTGCATTACTTAGCTAGAGGTTAAGAGAAAGACCTTCATAGGACTACATAGAGTTAGACATCTAATATGTTCTTGTTTTATGCAGAACACGTACGAAATACAAAACTTTCATACAAACATATCAACTCACTATGTAGACTTCGCCCACCTTTTGTGACTTTACAAAAATTCATAAACACATAGCAATGAACTCTGGGTAAATTCACAGCGAACAACCTACCGAACGAAACATAGGGATTACCGTGTAACAGTTGTGGTTCTCACAACGGGAAAGTTTTCGATGTTGTTTGGGGTTGTGACGCCATGTCGACATGTAGGTGGATATCTACGTTTCTGAGGAACACATTGTCTCTATCTTCAGACCTTAAGACGGACAAGCCCACATGGCGTCGCGACCCAAAACAAGAACATACACAGACCTTAACTGTACTAGTTTCAATGTTTGTGTGGCATATTACGAGAAGAACAAACACACACTTGGTGTAGCATTAAGAACCTTATGAGAATTTTACAAGGCGGAGAGTTTCTTGACCAGTTGAGGGCGTACCAATGTCTCAAAGAAATTAGTTAAAAGATAGCAGGAGTGGTAAGTTTTTTATATAAATAACTGTTAAGATATCAATATCACGAAAAAAATCACCGAATGTTGTTAGGGTAGCTTCCAATTTAAGAATCTGCACGGACGTTATTTGGGAATCGTTGGAAGTAGGGTTATATAAGTGTAACATCAATGGTCTACCATTCTTAGGAACAGCCTTTGTAACGTAAATTATTCTTTCCAGTATCGAATGCGCACTTCTAGCTTAGGAGGTTTCGAAAACTAGTCTGACAAGGATTTGTGACAGAAGAAGACTCAAAACCGAAACCACATATTCTGTCTGAACAGTGCTTGTATTTTAGTGAAGATGCATCTCGAAAAGGAGTAATGTTGTTCGGAGGAGGTGATTACGTTCACCACTATCAACTTAATATTTCTGTCTACTCACACAACAACGACGAGAAAGAATCTACAACAAACATAATCATGCTTCCTCTAAACTATTGAAGTCCATCTGCCAAGTGTCTGTTTGCAAATAAAGAAAAAAATATGGTTCTGCGAGAAGAATAAAGCAAATGGGCCTTTAATAAGAATTTGATGTTGGCTCTGCAAATGTGTTGGCGATATTCTCACATGTTCCTAATAACATAGGAGATAACTACCGTGCAAACTGCATTTTACGTAATTGCTATCGCATTTAAATTTAAATTAGTTATCACATAATGCGAAATATAAACAAAAACATAATATAAGACTGTAAAGAAGCATGAAGGTGTTAAAAGCATAATTCACCGCTTCTCTTGATGGTCCGCCCCTGTGTGCAAACGAGTACTCGTTTTGTAGAAATAAATGTGGCTCTGACAGATTAACGTGTGCGCAGATAGCATGTTTTATGTTATGAAAAGCACACATATACGTATGTACGATACTCACAAGCAGATTAATCAATGTATTGATTTTATTAATCGAAACATAAATCTCCAGACTTTTCAGATAGTTTATCTTCCATCGCGGTATCGCGTAGAATTAAATTGTTCACATATTTATATATTATTCCGTGCTCGTGTACTAAAAATGTGGTCGAATCATATGAAGAAAAAATGTGTAACCTAATTATAATTTACTGCTCGTTCATGCACACAATGTTACACTAAATAGGCGCATGGACAACAAAGTATTTTTACTTCTCAGAGGTTTCGTACTCAACTTTTAGGGACTCATGTTTGCTCCTGTCCAATTTAAAGCACAAGACTTCTGTACGTTTTACACGATACTTCTCTAAATGTCTTCGGCGACGGAGTTGTACCAGTAATATTTTAGGTTCTCATGATGGTGAATACGAAGTTGGCTGTCTTCTAGGTTGTAGCGCCGTGTAGTTGTTAGACGTTTACCTATCATCAGGGCTATTAGTAAAGGAGGCAGAATGGACCTTTGAAATATTGATAAACTCATACCAGACAACATAGCGCTACAACCCAAAAGAGATACATCTTTGTAATATATACTTATAGTTTCTATATCGTCAGTTGGAATTTGAATTTTTTTTTAAAAAAACACAACATTTCGAAGGATGGATCTTCTTTCGTCTTTAAGGTACAGAGGGGGAGACACCTTCTCCGTTGGATCCGATAGACCGATATAATCGTCAAGTCTAGCTCTATAAATGTGAGGAGCGAAAGTTTCGTGTGTTTCATGCACCACAACGCATATAAAACGACATATTAGAAACCCAGAGAAAACAAAAGCTATATTTTCAGTGTCATTTATATTTACATAAAATATAAACCTTTTTCTTGTGGTATTCCAGGTTCTCACGGCAGCCTGTATAAAGATAACTGTCTTCTGGCATGTTGTGCCACGTAATCTTCTATTCATTTATCGCTGTTTGCTGCCTCCATCATCAGGACGATTCTTGACAGAATCAAGAAAAGCGAAGCGTATTAAATTTTCATTCAGTGATGACAGGATTTCTTTTTTAATTTCTTGCTTTCGTAATGCGTATGAAATCACTTTCC